AGTGATGTAGTTCAGTGTTTAGAAAATAGTTGAGCATAATAAGTGAAACCGAACAACCTCTATAGTATTGACCCATAATCCAAATATAGAGTAGTTTGGAGATGTCTGAACTGTTACAAAGGAATATTGAGATGAGTAGGGATTCCGTGCATGAAAATCTTGTGTGGATTGTCTAAAATCCAGTGAGACGAAGACGATGTGAAAATTTTAAGTTAGATGCTAGTTTTAGAAACTGAATGTCAAAGGAAAATGGGCATTATACTAATCTTTGAGTGAATAAAAGCATCTTTTTGAGCCTGTATAACTCAGGTGATTAAGCCTATAAGCGTGATTTAAAATCTCTTTCCCTATGGTCATTTGACTTGGGGGTCATCGACCTAAATTTCGATACATGGGTTATATAGAAAGAAAATGAGAAGATGTTCGAAAAAAAAAAGAAAAAAAAATGAAGAAAACATCAAAAATGAAACGGAAAAAAAAAAATACACAAGTACATTGATTCAACTCCAGACATTCGGTTGATAAAACTACACATTTGATGAGAAGCAAGTAACTCAGTTTAGTCTTATGGGTTGAAGAAATCAAATGTATAGTAGAATCTCGACTTGTTGAAATGTGAGCTTGTAATATTGAGATCTATCCAAACTAAGAGAAGGATAAGGAATAGAATTGAAAAGTTCAACTTAGAATACACTCTAGGAAAATTGAGTGAAAAGTATAAGTTTTAGGGGTGTGTATCTCTCGAGCAAGGATATATTGGCTGATATGGATCAGGTGTTGAGCCAACCACAATGTGAATATGTTGACATGAGTTTTCATACACACATGTCGAGGTAAGCATGTAATGGGTGGAGATTGATTTAATTTTTGCACTGTTGTAAGTGTTCATTTGTTTGATTACTGAATTTCAATTCTGAGACATGACAAGTTATCAAACCATGTTTTGTGTAGAGTTAAGCTACATTTTTGTTTGAGGAATGTTGGAATATAGCTTAATTCCATACAATTTATGTTTTGCAGGACAACATGATGAATGTAGCGGAATTGGGAAGAAATAAGGAAAAATGACTAAAATGAAAGAAAACGAAATTCTAGAGACTAAATTGTAAATATCCAAAAGTTGGTTCGAAAGGCTAAATGGGGATTTGAAAGAGTTGGAAGTTAATTGGTTGAAGACAATAGGCTTTGGATGAAGAATTTGAGAAAAGAATGCAAAAATAGCAAAAATTAGCAAAATCCAAAATTTGAGGACCAAATTGCAAATACTCAATAGTTTATTCGGACCATAAGAAGATACTTTGAAGATTTTTAGGAGACAATTGGATGGAATTAGAACTCAAAAAAGAATGGAATATGATTAAAATCAATTTTCAATCGTACAAATTATATTCCAAATTTTTAGTCAATGATGGAGACCCATATTTGA